AGTAGTCAATAATGCAACTGAGCCTTTAGAATGTGACAAAAGAGTATGACAGAAGTATACAGGACTTTGTTCATTATTATGAATGTAGGGTGTACGTTCTGATTAATTCCCAACTAGAGTCCTTCAGAGTTAGAACTGAGTTATAATTGAAATTATATCTTTGAAGGATTAACAGAAATATTTTAGAATTGCACAGATTATTACATTGGAAGAAACGGAAGATTCACCATGTGAACCTCCAGAAAGTTTCTTAAGTGCACAATTACTATTGTGCACAAATGAGGTATGAGATTCTGGGACTGCCAATATTACAGGAACATAAAGCCAAAAGCATGGCTATTAGTTTAGACTATTTCTTTTGGCATGGCTAAAGCAAGCAGAAGTCAGCTAAACCTTTATACATTGCCATTTGCTTTTCTAAAGGTTCTCATCCAACAACGCACTGGGGATGTACTTGTTATGTACTTGTTACCAGAAACAAAGGGGAAATTGTCTTTGAAGAACTTTTTTCTATGTTTTGTTTTGAATCTTGGAGTTCACACAAGGAATGTAAAATCTTGCTCTAATACAGCATAGGACTAAGGATAGATGTGACCTAACACTGCTCACCAAAATCTGAATCACCGAGCTCTTGTAACTTAACGTTCGATCTTAACTTTTCATTAACGTCAGACAGGTTTCTTAATACAAATATTCAACATAGAAGAAACTCTGTTTCTTCTGAAAATAGTTCCTTTCACAACTTTCCAATACAACAAGCTGTTGTTAGTGGTGTCATAGCATACCTATTATATGACAGCTGTGTGTGACTGGCCAGACAACAGAATTCTGTATATGCAAACACCCTAACACTGAGATCACTGCAGCAGGGCTAAGTGGCTCCTTGCTGCTATGATGTGAGACAACAGGAGAACAATGACAAAGTCTGATCAGAAATGAGAAACGCATTCACCAGTGACACAATGCACAGACCAGTGCCACAGCAAAACGACTAGCTCTTCTTGCTGGCATCAGAGAGATTATGAGATCAATACTGAGACCAGCTCAAGAAAATGTGGAGATTTTCACCCTGTATTCCAAAATCAGGCCTAGCATCCTGGTGTGATCCAGCTCATTTCCATCATTCTCAGGTTTTCAGAAAGACGGGAAATCATCAATCTTCAGAGTTTGATTTCCCTAATGCAACTGTGAGATGCAAAATATTCTACTGATGTTTGCAGTTGCTTAGAGCTCTGAATAAAGTAAAAGAACTATTCAGTAACTCTGAATGAAGTGGAAGAACATTGGGACCAGGGTCCACTGAACTTCTGCTCCCACATAACCTCTCTAAAATACCCAAGACCTGAATCTGACTTTTGCATATAACTTTCAAAGAGCTGAAGAACCCACAGCATGGTCTACAGGGAATCTGGTGAGATGACTTTTATTAGCCAACCACAGAAGTAGACTTCACACAGAAAAATAAGCTACCTCACATCTATCTAAAGGATCCTGCAATGGGATCTGGCCAAGCACCAACCTATAATCATCTCCCCTGTAATGGTCACTGTACAATGTGGACACAGCCTCCAGACTAAAGGTAAAAATGAATATCTACTGGAAAGTACTGATATTTGAATTTAAGGATAAAACTGCCCAGCTTCCATATTTTCATTTATTTGATAGCAGAAAAACAAAACAAAATAAGGAAGTAATGTAAAAACATTTTGTCTCAAAGCATAAAGGAATCGTTGGATGACTGTAGAGCTAGAAGTCTAGCTACCTCTCAGTGAAAGGTCAGAAAGATGCTGAAAGGTACAGCTTGCAGACTGAAGATGCCCCAAATAAGCCAAAAACAGAGCAGATCCTGCTATGTAACCAGAAAGAAGGGAATGTCAAAACTACATGAGGGAAGGACAGGATTTGTCCATAACTCTTCAAAGGTTTGTGCAAGGGCAGAACATGAAGAAAACCATTGCATCTCTCTGCTGCTCAAGTGCTATATATGAGAACTCTGACACCATACTGTCACAATTCCAACCAAAGCCCAGAAGTTGAGGGAAATCCTTTGAAAACAGGCTTCTTTTTGGATGCCGGAGGGAATATTCAAAATATTAGGAGTTCCCTCACTGGGGACACCTTCCTGGACTGCTCAGCTTAACCACTGCACGATAGGAGTGTTTAAGCTGAATTAAGCTCTCCAGATGCCTCAGGGTTACAACGAACATGTAAAAGTCTCCAGTTTTTCTTTATAAAGACAAGCTGAAAGCAGCACAGTCTGGATGCCAATTCATAAATGGATCAGCTGGGTGTGCCTCAGGGATGGGATGAGCAATTGGCAGCTCTAACAGCTTCAGTCATGTAATTTTTTCCCATCACTACTAGTCTATCACAGCTAGAGGCCACCAGCTCCTCTTAGGATGAATTCCAGAGGGTTTTAGGCTGGATATAGGCAGGTAGGCATGAATATGGAGATGCAACCTTGGGAGCTTTCAGGTTTGAAATGGAGGTACCCACCAATGGATATGCTATCTTGGCTCTGTAGCTGATAACCAGGATGGTGCTCTGTATCACAGTTTTTGATCTAGAAGCCCTAAGACCATGCAAGTCCTGTTACAGGGCCAGGAGACGAAATAACCTTTCCACTTGCCTGAGTAATATGTGCACTTCATCTGATAATATTCAAATCTCTTTAGCTACATTATAATGAGGTTAAAGCAAAAAAAGATTTCCCCACCCCACATATTACAAATGTCAGTAATGAGAACAGTAAAAATGTCACCACACGGTGAAAAGAGTGAAATTAGCATATTTGGAGAAGTATTATGCCCATGAGTGAAATAATGCAATCAGCTAGCTGCAAGATAAAGCTAATTTGGTTTCCAACAGTTTATCAACAATGCACTGCTCCTTTACATTAACAAATTTAAATAGTACCATATCCTGCAAACAAGAATAGTTCACACAGAATATTACGCTGTGTTAATTAAATAGCTGGAACAGAAAAGGTCAGGCCATGACTGAAAGATTTGCAGATGGGTTGTAAAGCTATGAGAAAGACGGAGCGATTTAGAATCAGGCAGTTAAAATAAATTATTCAAAACATGATTAATTCAATAGTAAATAAACCAAGATTTTCCAAGTCTATTTTAATGCCCCCTTTCTTTTGTCAGTTTCTCAGAAACCTCCCCCTCCTGGTGGCTCATACGTGAGCCAAAATATCTTTAAAACTGTCATATGGTGAAGTGACTTAGATAAGTTATCAAAGAATTATCCTGCTTATATTCAAGTTTTCATTTTTCTATGCAGGTATTGGAGGCAAGAGGCACATTCTGCAGTTAAAGAACACTGCAAAGCCTCACCTTCCTTATTTCTGCTACTAGAATAACCAAGACATCACTATAATTACTACAGTTAATTGAAAAATGTCCCGAGAAAAACATTTTTTCACTTTGTTTACTTCTGCAAATGACAGCACTTTGTCTTTGGCATAATGCCACCAAATCAATTAAATTATAGTACTAACATGGCTATTTTAAATGGAGAGAACATTTTGGCATGGGCTGCACTGAAGCAGTAATGTATAAAGACTGCCCAGCAAAACGGGGAATTAATCTGACTTGGAACTCCAACACACTACAGAATACACATCAGTCATAATCAAGGCTGAACCTCATCCAGTATTTTTACCATATTTTATTTTTGTCAACATAGTCGTACACGCAAGCCTAAATTTTACTCTGCATTCATCTTTACATTCCTCTGTTATTTATTTGTGCATGAACTTTATTTTTCCTTGAAAATATCCTGAAATTTTCTAGCTAAAACCTTACTTTCATTTTGATCGCATTTCTGATGGTTTCAGCTGATACCCGTTTCCTTTTCCCACCCTTAGTGTTTGCAGCTCCTAAATGGACCCGCAGTCGAGCAAACAGAGCTGGATGGGCTAAACAATATGCAATGGGTTTTCTGCGGGGGGAGGGAAAGTGGTGTTTATGGGAATACGTGGTTTTGGCTGCAAAGCCATGGGTTGGGCACAATGTCTGAATTTCAATCATGTGCTGCCAATGTATTATCAGGATTACAGCATTAGCACTGCCATCTAAAACCAGCCCGCGTGGGTCCCACTATTTAGCTCTTCCCAATTAAGCACACGGGCATTTATCAAACCAATCTTTGTGACAGAATTCCTAAGCGAGCCAAACTGAAATACGTCATTTTTTAAGGGAAGACGAAGCATTGTGCAGCATATGAGCCATTAATTTTATGACAAGTGCAGATGGTAGACATACAGATAAATACTCATACAACCTAATTAAATGAACATATACTTCAGCCTATTTAAACGATAATAGTTCCTAATGAGCTCAGCGCGGCTCACACGGCGGTATATTCATCTGAATTCTCTTAAAATGGATTTACGTGCAGGCTGTAACCGAACCCTGGTGGGGTTTTTATTCCAATCCCGTCCATAGCTGACTTTTATCCGCTTCGTTACAGCACAGCTCTGACAGCCGCGAGGCACAGACACCCACGTAGGTGCGCTCCATCCATCCCGTGCACTTCTAGATGCTAAGAGGCACAACTGCAAAACAGCCCCCTGCAAGCCTTAACGCACTCGTCTCCCGGGATGAAACAAAACGAGGTTATTTGGAACCGTGAGGTGCAAGACGAGGCCGGTTCTCCCACAACAAACTGCGGGTTTGGGAGCCGGGGCACAGCCACCAGGCCTCAGCACAGCAGCCAAGCTACCTACAACGCGTCTCCCGCCCAGCAGGGCCGCACACCCGGGCCGGCGGGCACCTACCGGGCGCGGCGGGGCCGCCGCTGTCCGCCCCGGCCATGCTGTTGTTCCGGCTCCCTTCCTGCCCGCCGGGCGCCCCGCGGCACCGCCCTCACCGACGGCCGAGCGGGCCGGGCCCAGAGCGGAGCGGCCGTACGAGGCGTCCCCCGGCCGCGCTCCCCTCCCCGGCGCCGCTTTCCTCCTCCCCTCGCCGCCGGAGGAAGGAGGCGGCCGCCGGCCCTCCCCGACCGCGCATGCGGCTGTGCCGGGCCGGGGCAGCGCCGCCGCGCTCGGGGCCTCAAGTGCGGGCGTCCCCGGCCCCCTAACCTCCGGCCCGACAGATGGGCTTAGGCTGGAGCAGCGCGGAGGAGCGGCAGCCGCTCCTGCGGCCCCCGCCGCCCCCGCCGGCAGCGCAGCGGAGGCCGCAGCAGCCTCGGGGGCCGGCGGGGGGCCCGGCCGTGCCGGTGCCGGTGCCGGTGCGGCGGTTGGCGCCGGCCGCGGGCCGCGTGTACGGGCGGCGGTGGTTGGTGCTGCTGCTCTTCTCGCTGCTGGGCTTCTCGCAGGGCCTGGTGTGGAACAGCTGGGGCCCCATCCAGAACTCGGCCCGCCTGGCCTTCGGTTTCAGCGGCTGGGACATCGCCCTGCTCGTCTTCTGGGGGCCCATCGGCTTCGTGCCCTGCTTCTTCTTCATGTGGCTGATGGACAAGAAGGGTGAGCGCTGCGGGGGGCGGCGGGGCCGGGCGGGGACGCGGCGGGGCCTGGCTGCCGAGAGCCGCAGGTGGGTGAGGTGACCTCGGCGGGGACTGATGCTCCGGGGGCATCGAGAGCCCTGCCGTAGGGACGCAGCACGGGCCTAAGTGCGTCCGAAGCAGTTTGTGTGGCAGGTGTTTGGAGATGTTGCAGAGCTCGGAGCTTTGAGCTCACGTGGAGGTGTTGGTCTCTGCGCTCTGGCGTGTGTGTAGGTGTTTGCCCTGGAAATGGTGGCATTCTGTGTTCATTCTGTCTTCTGGCAGTCAGCTTTTAGGCTCGTGTCTGTGTAAAGTTAGCGATAGGGTGAGAGGGAATGGCCTCACGTTGTGCCAGAGGACGTTCAAGTTGGATATAGAAAACACTTCTTCTCAGAAGGAGTGGTGAGGTATTGGAATAGGCTGCCCAGGGAGGTGCTGCAGCCACCATCCCTGGAGGTGTTCAGGAAACATGGAGACGTGGCACCGAGAGACATGGTTGGTGGGCTGTATTTGTGCTAGGTGGACAGTTGGATTGTAGATGGTTCATTTCCAACCTCATTGGTTCTACGATTCCGTGATTTCATATGCTGTGAATTGATGATTCATAGAATCTTAGAACCTTTGAGGTTGGAAAAGGCCTCCAAGACCATCTCATGCTGCATTTTGATAAACCCATTTATGTTTGGATAACTTCTGCACAACCCATGGAGTTTGTGCCTAGTCCCTAGGGATCACTGAGGTGATGAGACAAAACACACTTGTGCAGGTTTGAGCTTCCAGGCCTAAATCCACAGATTTAGACAAAATTCAGTCTTTTAATTCTAGTTTAAACAGGTCCCTATCAGGAGATGCTAAGTGCTGCTCATTCTGTTTATGTAGGGTTTAATAGCTCGTTTGTGTGTAGTGAAGGGAGGGAGAAAAGATGTAGCAGAGAAGGCTCGTGCTTTGAGGTTGGAACTGCTTTTCCTGCAGTTGAAGTGACACTGGGGGAATGAAATCTATTGGTCTGAAAACACATTCTCCAAATGAGTCCATGGTGGCTCTGCTGCCATCGCTCAAGCAATTCAAGCTTAAGCCAACAGTACCTACTTAGACATTGCTGTGCAGCAGCGTTGTTAATTATCTTGAAATTCAAGTTAGTTATTTTATTTTCTATGATGAAAATGTCAGCTCTGCTTGTGTTGTGAAGGAAATGAAACTGAACTTGAACTAGTGCTGATGGAGCAGGCTTGGTGTTAGGTAAAACTTCTTCTCAGAAAGGGTGGTGAGGCTGTGGAACAGGCTGCCTGGGGAGGTGGTGGGGTCTCTGTCCTTGGAGGTGTTTGAAAACTTGGAGAACTTGGAGATGTGACACTGAGGGACATGGTTAGTGGGCATAGCAGGGATGGGCTGATGATTGGACTGGGTGATGTGAGAGGTCTTTTCAACTTAATGATTTTATGATTCCGAGTGTGTATTTTAATTTATTTTCTATGGAGTTGATTCTGATTGATGTAAAAAATACTTGGAATATCTTAAATAATTGCCTTGTTATTATTTTGATTCCACAGTCAGTGGAGATGCTCATATGAACTTCTTCATTGCTATTGCTGTGTTGCTGTCGTTGTTGCAGGATTTCCATTTTATAGCCTTAATGGATAATCTTAGTTCATTGGTTTCATGCACAGCATGTTCTTTGTGCAGCAGCAGGTTTTGTGGGGGCCCTGTTGTATTTCATGCTGTTTTTGGAGCCGCTGAATGATTCCCTTGGAGAATATAGTGCTTTCTCCTTATCCTGATGGAGTGAGGAATGCCAATATGCCTGGCCCTGCACCATCCCACTGGAGCTGCCTCATCAGGAGGGGTAGGATGTGTGTCCCAGAAGGAGCAAGGCTGTCAAGTTGGCTGGGTGTGACCTCGCAAGAGCAGTATTTCACTTGCTTAGAGGTACAAGTGCTTGTTGTTGTACTGAATTTACTCTCTGTACCAAAAATATGGAGAGACGGCACCATTTACTCTCTGGGCTTCAATCATCTGTCATTGGAGTTAGCTAGTAAGGAAGCTGTCAGGAAAAAAATGTGTTTGTGAACTGTCAACATTTAAAACCTGGCATGTATCAGAAGTATGACACTGTAGATGATGCATGTCAGGGTCTGTGAGAGGAGGTTCTGCTTTTAGATTGTCCTGCGCTTCACAGTCACAGGTGTATCTACTGGGTATCAGTACAGAGCTGCCTGCAGTCAGAGAAGTGAGTTGGTGTTACGATGTTTCAGGTCAAGTCCAGAAGTGTTTTATCTTCTTGGTTTTTCAGTTGTTTGGTATAGCATATAGCTTGAAATGGAAATCTGTTTCTTTTTTCCCCCTTTTAACTAAATTCAAGTTGGAAGATTGAATATTCTGCAATAGGCATATTAACAGTGTGACTTGTAGAAGCTTTCTTGGACTGTGGGGTTTAGCTGTAGCACAGCTTTTCACAGAAGCATGGGGTATCCATGGGAAGAGAGAATAGAGCATTTATTTCTAGTAAAAGATGTGTTGAAGAAGCAGCCATTGTTAATGTATTTTGGATAGTAGAGGTCTGGGATGCTTCCATTATGCTTTTTTGATTTCTTAACCTGAAAGGGCTTTCTTTCGTGACCTCCTCCCTCTTGGCTCACCAGATGCGTTCTCCTGTACACCTGTAGTGATTTCCTGGCTCTTTGAAAATTGAGAGTGAGTTTTCATCTGTATTGATGGTCTTCATGAGGCTGTATTAGCAAAATACAATCTGAGCAGATTTGGTAAGAATAGTCAAATTTCTGTGAAGGGTGATAATGCAGCATTTTAATGAGTCTTTGAAGCCTTACACTCACATGGTATTTTGCTGGGGTATGTAAATTGAAATATCATTCGTAATATTGCCGAGCTCATGTTCTTAGAAATGCATTAGTTTTCAGACACTTAGCAGGACTCACAGCTGGAAGCTCTTTGGGGTTGAGCCCTGTTACCCTGCCTGAGTGTACATCTGCACCACTGTGGCCTTTGCCTTGAGAAGCTGGCAACAGCTTTCCAAGCTCTGTTCTTTAGGGTGCTGTCATGGGGGCAGAGATGGTACCCATAATGTTTCCTGGTCTTGGACTGGGCTGGCTGCGTGTTGAAAGGAGGAATTATGTTTGCTAATGTCATTTTTCAGTACATGCCGTTTTGCAGTAGGAGTGTTTTTATTGTTCTTGTTGGTTTGTTTCTTGGTAAAGAAAGGTCAAGAAGTGAGCGTGCAGTGGAGCAAAATGTCACATTGGATATGTTTCCTTTAGCAATAGGATAAGGGAGCCCTTTTAAAATAATCATTATCTTTAGAGAATCAGTATGAATTAAATCAAATGGAAATGATTTAGTGTGCTGTTGGATTGACGCTTGGTGTTTACAAGATTAAAATTAGCCACAGCTTGTCACCCGATGCTCGAGTGGTTAAGGATGTTTTGTGCCTGGAGTATTTCCTGGGAACTCTAAACAAGTGTGCAGGTCCATTAGGGTGTTTATATCTCTCAACTCCTCTTGAAATCTAAAGCTGAAATACTTGAGTTATGGATCTGGTCTGCTGGTCGTCTTATGAGTTAAGTTCATAGTTACAGTGTGAGACACAGAAGTAATATATAATATCAGTCTTCATTATGTCCCTGTGTAATCAAGAAAAGGCAATGAAGAAAGAAATAATTTATGATAATTTACATTAAACTAATTTAATAGAATGGTGATATTTTTCATTAACTTTTGGAATACAGTTTTATCTTGTATCGAGTTTGAATAGATGTTGCTTATTACTGGTAAAAGTGAAATGTAATTTATTTCTTGGTCCTTTTTTTTTTTTTTTCTTGTGAAATGGTATACACTTAGATGGATTGTATAGATATTCTTAGTCGCTTTTTTTTTGGCTAAAATTAAATTTGCCTAGTATTGTTATCCTAGTGATTAAATTATAAAATGGAGAGAAAATTTCAATAATGTAACTTTTTTTTTTTTTGGTGGAGATTGGCTTTCATTTTGAAACCATTAATGTTTTGACTTTTATAAATAACTCTTCTTCTTCTGAATATCAAGCTCCTGATTTCTCTGCTCTCTCATATATCACTTAGGTTTCAGGTTCTGTCCTTTAAAGCTTTTGATAGTTTTTACTTCTTTCACCAGGGAATTTTGAGGTTAAATCCTTTAATACAGTCTGACAAAATCGTAATGAATATTGAATGAGAGTAGTAAATCGGGCCTTACTCATATAAGAAGGTCTTAATAACTGTTCTTTGTACAAAATAAGCTACACACGATAGACAAACAGAATTCTGTATAGCAGCCTTCATATGTGAAGTTCCTGCATTGTCACTTTGTGCTGCATACATACAAAAGCTGATTTGGCTTTTAGGGCTTTGGGCTGCTCTAGTTCACATCCAGGCTCACTGGGACAGAAGGAAGAGGACTTCAGGTGAACATCTCCCTGGTCACCTAGGGAATGTTTGTGAAATGCCTTCCATTTTTGAGTGATGTGGAGCTGAGTACAGGGAGTAAGCAGTAAGCAGTTCCAGAGGCCATTGGATTTGCAAATGGCTAAGTGAAACCAGCAGATGGGGGAGATTATCTTTCCATCAGGCGTTTCCGTCGTGCTTGGTGTCTCAGGGTCCTGATCTGTTATTTAGGTTCTCAGACCGTGTGACAGTAAATACAGATTGGAGCATGCTGCTAATAATTTCAAAAAGTTGCAGCAGATCTAGTTGCTGTTACTCTCATATCACTGTCAGTGGGCAATGTGAGATACTTTCCATGGTGACACTTGCAACAAGGTGCTGACTTTTCATGGCAGTACTTAGAGTTCTTAGTGTCCCAATTGATCATAAGTACATCTGGAGAACAGAAGGGCAACAACAAATGACTCATGAGCCTTTAAAGGCTTTCAGACTTTTTAAAGCCTGGAAGTTTTCATCTCATGGCAAAGAAGCACATTTTCAGCTCTTTTTCACCATGATCTCAGAAGCAGAC